GTTTCAAAAAGCAGTTAAAGTTAATTGATATTTTGAAGAGACAAAAGGTAAGGACCAGAGTACTGTTACATTTCAGTTAACAACCTCTAGCTAAATGTGTCTGTCGTCAGGTAGGGTAATGATGTAAACTAGAGACCCAAGGCTGGAAAGTTTCAATGCAAGGGAGCAGCACTTGTATTAGCGCATATTGCTAATGTTTTGTTTTCTAGCAAAGGCTGATCTTCTTTCCAATTGACTCCATTCCTAACTTGGAGCATATCCTGTTACGGTGAAGGATTGCTACTGCCATGCTTTAGGATTGAGAGTATCTATTTGTTCAAGAGCAAATACTGTTCAGGTAATAACAGCAACTCCCTTTGGTGCTGTGTCAGTAGAATCCATTTTAGCACACAAGATATTCCCCCCCCCCGCCCCAGCATATTACTTGTCGTATCAGCAGCTGTAACATCGTGCTCTCTCAGGAATGAGCTTTCAGATCTACGTTCTTGCCTGGGTTCTCAAAATGGGTTCTTGTCTATTAGCATTGTTTCTTTTTATTTATATTCTGAGTTGTTCTAGACATGTACAATTCTGTCCAGGTGCAGATCTCCTTGTGCGTCTGACAAAAAAAAAAAGGAAAAAAAAAAAAAAACAAAGAGAGAGAGAGAGTCCTTATCCTAGCTGTGAATTTACTAGATTGAAGGAGGGGAGTTGCTCTCCATCCTTTTGTAATTCCTGGAATGTCACGCATACTTTGAATCACACACGACATAGTAACATCTGCATGGGTGTTCCCACCCACACTGCACTTGCAGCTAGCCTTATTCTGAAAGTCTACCTTCTTTCATTCTACATTCATTTCCTATCTCCCTCAGGGCACAAAACGGAGGGCAGGGGCTACCTACCACCTTTTAGTTGCTTTAGCAGCTGAAGCTGCTATGGAATAGAGGATAGATACTTGCTGACAATTCATGCTGAACAATTAGTGATACAGCTTTCAGAGAAGGGTGTTGTAGTGAAAAGTGGATTAATACTTAATCTGATTTTAACATCATCGAGTGCTTCACCTCTAATTGCGTACTCTGCTGAATCTAGCACGATTCATTTCATTTCGGGATGGAGTTTAACACGCTGCTTTTTGCACTCTCAAACCAACGCTGTAAGAGAGTTAAAGCAAGCAATGCATGGTGAGTTGTTGAGCAGAAGCGCCTTAGAAGGGCCAGCCTTTGAGATAAGAAAATAGAACATTGGGTTTATCCTTTGAGCGCTGCAGTCATTACCAGACATTCTGTAAACACTCTGGAAGGTAACTGGGCCCCCCTAGAGGAAGAATAGTTCTGTATGAAGTGGCAACTTCATGTAACAAAATACACATACCTATCCTAAGAATTGGGAATCGCGATATGGAAGTACACCCTTCAATCCGGAATACCTCTCCAGCACAGGACACGGGAGGATAGGTAACTGGAATATGTGGAACTGGGGCTGGTCGTGCATTTCCAGTGGAAGGGAATTTTTCTGGCAGTAACAGGATGCACAGGAGATCTTGGGGATTCATCTAACAGAAAGAGTGCTAGCTTAGCCTTTGGCTGGCCTTTCTAGCCCTTCCAAGTTTATTTTGAGAATAAAAAAAACATACAGCATTCACTCAAAACATACTCTATACATGAGTTCGCTGAAATGGGTGTCAAAGAGCAATATTTCTGTTTGGCTGTGAACCAAAAACATAGTATCAGATAAACTTACAAAACTTCATTAAATATATTTTAGAAAAATTACGAATACCGTATCAGAACTGCAGATAGTAGAGGAAGCCACTTAACATTTTTTGTAAGAAAAGGTATTTACTCACAGAAGAAGGATGCTGTTAGTTCTCCTTTCAGAACAAACTACAATGGGAAGAACCTGAAAGAGAATGGCACTAACTCTGCCTTTTGTAACTTCTGGCAGAGGGGAGGGGCAGCTAAAGCTCACGTGTGCTCAATATAGATCATCACCTCCAAGCCTGCTTCACATGAGCCTTTTGTTGAATGAGTGAGGGAAACCTGATTTGGACCATTTGTGTAGCATTGGGGTGGCAGATACAGGTGCATGTAGCAGGTACAGCCTGAAGGTGAGGATATGCTACCACATGAAGCACAGTAAGAGTAAAACAATCCCAAAAGGTATTAAATATCAGTAGTAGGATGAGTTACAGCCAGCAGCAAGTAGTTGCTGGTGTTCCAGTTTGTCTCTTCAGAGCATTCTCCACTTGTCTTGAGAGAGAGAATTTAATAGAAAAATCTTTGTTTTAAAAGGGATTAAGGGAAGTTAGTCTGAGCTTTACAGAGCTGGAGGGTGTTACACTGCCTGTGGGAACCGCAATATGCTTTGCTGTCGTTCTAAGCTGACAATATGTTTATATATAAAAAACCCCACAACAGACTCCTTGTGGACATGAATTATTTCCTGTTCTTCAAAACTTAAGCATTTTATTAAAATTTGCAGTAAAAACGATTTAGCTGGGACACTTTCCACTGTGAATGATGATAGGTAGAGATTATACTTCAGTGTGGTGATGAGGACATGTGGCACAGCTGTGACCTCTGCTGTGACATCAGCTGGAACCCAGGGAGCTTTCAGGCTTTCTGGCTGCTGTGCTTTTGATTGGTAGTTCCGTGCAAATACACTGACCCTTCAGTACTTGTTTTTTCATTCATCCTGGATGACCTGATGTAATTTTCCCAAGCAGTTGCATTATTTGAACAGAAAATACCCTTGTTACAAGTTTGTAAGTGAAAAAGTTCTGTTTGTTCCTTTCAGTCTTTCATTTAAAATAATGTGCTATGTCCTTTGTAGTGGACATACAAATTCAGACTGCTGTATGACTTTTAAACATACACATATGTACATGTGTGTGTGGGGGTGTACGTGTGCCATAATGGACCATCGATGGTCCAGATATGGTGTGTGATACATGGCGACACAGGTACCACTGGTCAGCTCCAGGTATTTCTCGTTAAGGTATAGTACAGTTACTCTTTTTATGCTGATCATTAATGGTGTTACCTTATTTTGTTAAAATCCTCCTTTAGCATTAAATCATGCATATTAGAAGTGCTAGCATGCTGAATCTTAATGATGTATTGGATTTGTCATAGCTTTAAAGTTAAGCTGTATATTGATCAGTTTGAAAGAAGGTATACTGGTTTTCTTATACATGTTCTTTAGAGGTCACAAGAGTTCTCAGATTTTCAGTAATTTTTCACCTTTCATTAAAACCAAGGTATCTATTTTTAATGCAATATAAGGAACTAAGAAAAGCTATTTATTGGTCCTGTTTTACTAGAGCTGAAAAAGTTGCAATGTTTAGCATGAAATTTATCACATTAACCCTACACTATAATTTTTAAGGAAAAAATATGAATAGCAGCTTCAACTTCAATGTTCAACACTGAACATCCATCAAAACCATAGTACAGAAAAACAGAATGGTAGATTTGAAGCCCCTTTCAGGCATCTCAGTTGTACAGGATTGTGTATTGGTCATTCACACTATTTTACCTTCCCCTCCTAATTTTTTTTTTATATATATATATATATATTTTG